CAAGAAGAAAGAGGAAGAAAGAGGGAAGAAAGAGAGAGAGAAAGGAGGAGAAAAAGAGAAGAAAAGTTTGGTTTGAATTAGGGAAAAGTCACTCTCCCATTCGGTTAGACATGTTTTTATATTATTAATATAATGGAAAAGACACATGTGCCCTTATTTAAGTGAGGGACACTAGTTCTAATATAATATTACGGATCAGCAACATCAACATAAGTATGAAGACAGAAATACCCCTACACTAACAGTTACCAAATAATTGCTGATGAAAAATGTTGTTGAATAATTCCTACTCTAAGAAGTATACAGTGAAGGAATTATAAGAGTTATAGGAAATAGAATAGCATAATTTTGGTATCTAAATTATTCACTGCTAGATGAAGCCTCTCATCTCCGGTAAAGGTCGTTTTGTCTGAAGTTTAGATGGAGCGTAATGTGTCTTTCAGGAGGCCAGGGGGAGGTAAACGAAGGTGGGAAGCTTTCAACCGGTATCTTAGAGTGGGGAAGGAAGGGAGGGCAAGGCTCAACCTTTCTTACAGTGAAGCGGTGACTGCGGGGGTTTGGCCTGTGTTTGGGTCTTCGGAGGTGAAGTGGATTGAAGGTAAGAGGGTGGTAGTTACGGATCCTCAGGGGGTGAATGCAAGAAGGGATTTCTTGAGGAACTGCCTGGTGGGGAGGAGATTAGGGAGGTAGAGATGTGGGTAAACAAATTCTGAAGGGAAGTGGAGGGGGGGGTGAAAGTGAAGAAAATGGCGGATGGACTCTTCCTCTTCATCTGTCAGTCGCGAGCAGGTGTGGAATGGGTGTTAAGGCAAGGTCCTTGGCAGATGGGAAGGAACCCCCTGTTGTTGGACTGGTGGGGGGCGAGTGCAGGTTGCTATTACCCTGATCCTTTCACAGTTGGGGAGGACATGGAGTTGAGCTGGATTAGGATTTTTGGTCTTCCTCTTCTCCTCCGGTGCCCTAGTGTTATTAGGGCTATCGAGGATGCATGTGGGGGCTTCATAGAGACAGACGATTCCCCGATGGAGATTGCAACCTACGAGTGGGTTAGGATGAGAATTCGTAGGGGGAAGGAAATTCCGCACAAGGTAGAAGTGGTTTTTTATAGTTCAGATCTGGCAAGAGATGCTGCTGCCGTCGGTTCGAAGGTGGAGAGTTGGAGAAGAGCGGTCTTGCGATGTTCAGAAAGAAGAAAAGGGTGTTTCAAGCTATACTAGTCCTGGAAGATTCACGCGAGAGTGTTCTTCCCGTTTCTTCTGAAGGAGTGCGAAGCAAAAAGTCTAGGTTGCGAGGCTCTTCTCCGATGGCCGGTGATGAAGAAGATGCAGAGGTGGGGTCTCCTTTGAACCGTCTGATTATGGCGACATTGAAGGGTCCAAATGGGCATTCCCAGGAATCTAGTGTTAAGGAGGTTCGAAATTTAAATTTGGGGGGCAGCAAGCAGGTCTTGGGAGTCTAAACCATTAAAAGTTTAATCAAGGAGTGTCTTGCTGAGATCCAGCTGGAACCTAGTGAGGGCCGTGCGTCAGCGAATCAGTATGGGGTGWACTAGCCCCCCCTTCTCGGGCCTCAGTTGGCCCATGACAGCTCGAATGTAGTTTTTGGGCCAGGAGTTCTGTACCCAGCCCAGTCGGTTTTACTTCGCTCTAATCCGGAAGTTGGGCCTGGGCCCAATGGTCTTAAAGAATTTAATTCCCCATTGGATAGAGGGGCCCATCAGAGTCTGGTTTTTAACTCTCCGGCTGGGGGTTGTCAGCAGGGTGTGGAGTCAGGGGCTATTCGGGACTCTCAGGATTGTTGGGTGCTTGCTTCCAATAGAGAGAAGGGTGGGGGGGGGAGGCTTGGACCTTGGCTTGGCGATTGTGAAGTCTTCGTCCTCCCAAACGGCTGCTTTGGAAGGTGAGTTGCGACAAAAGTCCAAACAGTTAGTGGTGCAGAGAGAGGAAGAGGAGCTGATGGAGGTTGACTCAATTGTGATGGTGGCCGCAGAATCTCAAGGTATATAGCTGATGGAGATGAACAAGAGGGTGTGGGGTTACAGGGGGAAGGTAGTAAGCTCTGTGAATCAGCTAGGGGAGTTATATCGGATGGGCAGCTTCAGGAGAGCAGTAATATATTAATAGCTCAGTCGAATCTGGTAGGGGAGCATCCGGTAAATGGTTCTGATTCTTCTTGGGTCTCTTATAAGTTGTTGGGTTTGGGTAATTTTCTGGGGATCTCGCTAGAAGGTTTGGAAGAGGAGACAATCAAGTACTTGGAAGGGGTTGAGCAAAGAGTGCGCTTGGCTAGGGGAAAAGCTGCAGTAAAGGAAGGGGGTAATGAATCTAAACGACGTAGAGAACTGTTGTGGTTGACTTGGAGTCTTAATGATAGAGTGGGTAGCAGTGAGGGGAGTTTGGGGGGGGGGAGAAAGGCTCAAGTGCCATCTGTCAGATTTTGTGGTTTTGTTATGGAGTTCAAGGTGCTTTCTTGGAATGTTAGGGGTTTGGGGTCAGGAAGAAGGAGGTTGGTAGTTTGTGATTCTCTGAAAAAATCAGGTTCAAATGTGGTTCCGATTCAAGAAACTAAATTGGAGAGTGTGGAGGCTGCAGTTGTTAGGAGTATCTGGGGGAAGGGGGAGGTTAGGTGGAGGTCAAAGTCAGCTGTTGGAAGTGCAGGGGGGTTACTGAGCATGTGGGACCTGACAGTTTGTAGCTTGATTTCATTTCAGATTGGGAAATTTTCAATTTCCCTTGTATTGAAATTTGTTGATGGTAATGTTTGTCAAATAACTAAACAGATACACCAGCATCCCGAGCAGAAGTTCCAATGGGGGGGGGGGTGAGAAGAGAGACTGGCATCTCTGAGTGTGAACAGAGAGAAGGTGAGATGGCAGTGAAAGAGGGACAGAAGGAGGAACTAGAGAGAATTTGGGAGAGAATCTGCGTGTTGTTGGAGGAGTATAAAGAGAGGGAGGAGAAATTAGATCAAAGGGAGAGAGTAACAACTTTTCAAGAAAAGGACTATTACAGGAGCTCTAATCTGGGGGGGGAGATAAATGAAACTAGTGCCTTAATGAGGAAGACTAAGGGTAACAATAAGAGAAAAAAGAAAAAGAGATCTGAAGTGGAGATTGATTTCAGATATTGAGGGTGATATTGAATTTAGTGGGAGAGGGGAAAGAAGAAAGACTTTGCTGTAAGGTGGAGTTTTTGAGAAGGGTTTTTTTTGAAAAAGTGCTTGATGAAGATCATTAGCTGGAATGTGAGAGGCTTGGGAAGTGAAAGAAAGAGAAGGGCAATTAAAAAATTGTTGAGGAGAGAGAAACCGGGCATAGTCTTGATGCAGGAAACCAAGCTGGCAGAATTGGATAGAAGATGGATCAGAAGTGTATGGAGATCAAGAGGAGTTTGTTGGACTTCAGCGCCGTCCTATGGAGCCTCTGGAGGTCTAGTAACCTTATGGAGGGAGGATGCTGTAGAATCAGTGGAGGAGCTAATAGGAAGATTTCCTGTGTCCTTAAAGGTTAGGAATGTGGGGGATGGCTTCACCTGGGTTTTAACCAATGTCTATGGGCCAAACTCGTATAGAGAGAGGAATGAGATGTGGGAAGAGTTGTATGCCATACGAGGTCTGTGGTATTTTCAAGAGTAACGTCCATGTTAAATTGTCTTATTGAATCTGTTGTATTTTCAAGAGTTACTAGTCATTGTAATTTTATTTTAAACAGTCATTTGAATCCTAAGGAATGTTATGTAGGTTTTCAGGGTATCTCCATCTAGTCTGGAAATAGTTATTTTTCATATTGGTTGGCAGTTGAAATTAGTAGTGGGTGAAGACAATCTATTTTTTAGTAGGATCTGGTATACACCGAGTTTCAATCATTGAGGCACTATTGGATATCTTCTCTTAGGAATGGGGATTTCTCTTTTGCTAACTCCTCTGGCAAACAGAAAAGCAGCCTTCAGCCCTTTTATCTTCCAATCTTCTGTCATCTAGTTTATCCTTCAGTTACTACTTTGAGGTTGAATCCAGATTTTGATCTGCTGCCTTGAAGTTTTACTGCTGTACCACACAATCACACATTGAAAGAGCATGTAAAGTCATCCCTTCATGTGCAATAGAAGTGTATTCTAGAAGGTTGTTGTATCTGAGTGACTGTCATAATGGTCAAATCAGAACCATCACAAAAATGCTGTAATTGTTTCAGGGTGAAACCTTTGAATAAAATGTGGAATGGTCAACAATTTAGCCACATTTAAGTGAGATCCACTCATACAATAACAGAGTTCCTAATAGTTAACACAGCAAAGAGAAAAGCTAAGACCTCATATAGATGTGCCAACCGAAGAAGAACCTTTCCACTTTCAATCTCCTGCAGAGTTCATGAAAGCAAAAATTTTAAATTAGAAATGCATGCCAATAAAATGTCTGAAACTACTTTCAAGTGCTTTCTGATTAGCATTTTTGTTTTTTTTTTGTCATTTTTAACTTTTCATGAATGAAGATAATAACTGTTTTGTTTTTCTTTTTTACATAGAATGACATTAATACCTGGAGAGTTATCATTGCAACATTATCAGGTAAAGTATAAGAGGGATCCATCCCTGAAAAACTTGATGGATGAGAACCTATCCAGTTATCTCCATCCTGAACAAAAAAAAAAAAAAAAAAGAACGAATAAATGACCTGTGTGTCACAAATTCATAACCCAAAAACAAAAACCAGTATACTTTACTGTATTTATTTAACCTGCTCTGTGAATGCTAAAAGAAACGGGGAATATATCTCTTGTCCAGCTGAACGACGCCATTTAGCACCCTCTCCCAAAGGATCAATTCTCAGATAATAATTTCCTTGGATCTGTTAAATAATAAATTACTGACTTCAATAAGAGGCAACTACTGCATATTCTCTATATTGGAGAGGGTTGTTATGTAAAGTAGTTATTGTTAACAAGAATAGTTGTTACAGTTCAGGTAGTTAATCATGGATTACAATATCAAGGATTGAAACATGGCCTATGTTAGCAAAAGAAAGAAAAAAAAAAGAAGAGGATAAGAAAAGATGCTCGTAGCATTTCTTCTTTAATAGGATATGCTTTCACAATAATAGTTCTAAAAAGCATACATGGACTACCATAGATTATAAATATATGGTTGTGGAAATTGAACTACTTGCTGAAAATGATAAAGATGTCACTTGTGTAATTTAGGGTACTAATTCATGGTCGTTTTACAGGAAAACAACATCTTTTTTTGAAAGTTACTAACTTACAGTACGATAATCCACCAGAGAAGTAAATAAAAACATCAAATTCAGACTAGTCCATTTGAAATTAATTTAAGCAAAGATGACAAAGGGCAACAATGTGCTTTGTGAAGAGTAGGGAAGGATGGATTTACCACTAGTCCTCTGCATTCATCTAGGAGACAAATTTTTTCATCTAGTGACTCTGCAACACCTCTAGAATCATCATGAAGCAACCTCCTATAATACAATTAAACAAGATAAAACTAAATTAGAAATTTGATAAGTTATGGTGTGCAAACCAAGCTAAGTATCGTGACCTTTATGGATAAACATGGAACACAGAAATTTGAAAATCACAGCTGATGAAGAAAATTAAACTTGCAAAGGGAAGAACAAACCTATGAAGCATCAACTCTATTTCTCCATCCACTATGCTGGATCCACCCACTGATCTATCTACCAAAACTGAGAGCTCAGTCATGTTATCTTGTATGTAAATTCCAAGGTTAATCTGGAAAATAGGAAAAAAAAAGGAAAGAAAAAACTGTTACATGTAGTAGAAAGACATTATCAAATCATGGATTTGGTTTCCAAATTATTTCTATGATTAGTTCAGAAAAAGGGCTTAAAAGACGAGTAGAAATAGGTATGGCCGTATGGGTAAAAATGAAGATATAAATTAGAAAGATCATTATATCTTTATTTCTTTAAACAGTAAACAGTTTTTACCTACATTTCATATGTATGAGCAAGCAGCAAGTAATAGCATTTTATTATGCTTAATAAATGAACTGATTCAATAAGGAAACATACTGGGTAATAATTTCCAGCAACAGGTTGGTTCACTTGCAGGTCCCAATCTGTTCTGTAGTCCCGAATCTGCAAATAAATAAATAAATAAATTGGTATATAAACATAAATTTATGGAAGTTAACTTTTTGTAGAGAACACTAATGTGGACCCCACTAAGGTGGTCCCCACTGTTCATATGTCAGCAATAAGTTATGATTACGATTAGTTCTTTATGATAAGATTAGGACTAGTCTTTTATAAGATTAGGATTAGTCTTTTTTCAGCTTTATCTTATCTTGTTATCTTATGTTATCTTACCATGTAAGCAATTCAGTCCTTTTACAAGTGTGATACTAGTATATAGATTTAAGAGGAGGGCGGCTGTTTAAACACATCAACCCCTCTTTTATCAAAATCTCTCTCTCTCTCTCTCTTTTCTCCCTCTTCTTTTCTTATTTTTTTCTTCTCCTTTTGAGTGTCTGTTCAATCTTGAGCGGCTACTCTTTTCAAATATCAAAGTTCTAAACCATCTAATTATTCCCAATACTTAGAACCTAAACAAATAGCATATTTTGTAACTCCCTTCAATGCAGAGCAGACATGTTGTTTGGAGCATGGGAAAGTCCAATGTTTTCAATCCACTGGATCCTTTTTGAAATTCATAACCAAAGCATACTTAAGCACCCTAGAATTATGTCAAAAAGGTTATCTATTAACTATTAATGTTCCAATTTCGTCAGGGAAAAAACTATTAATGTCCCAAGCTTACCACCATAGTTAACATTAATGCAGTTACTTAATGGGTACAAACATAATATGGAATGCAAATTATAGGTTGATTCAGTTGTTAAGGCATTAGGAATAAGGCCAATGCCACCGTCCTAGGTTGTAATGATTTGTTCTCATATAAAGAATACTTGGTGCACTGATTAATATACATACACAAAGAGGCATGGGGGCAACTCACCCTTCTAATAAAGTCACGACCATTGGAATCTGTGTAAAATGTTTTATTGGTCTTCATGGTAGTTTTAATTTGAGTTACAATCTCTTTTCCGATGCCATCATCAACAGGTATAGGGCCAACCTAAAATTGAGGAGATTGTCAAAGATTGAAGCTCCAAAGCAAAAAAAAAAAATAAAAAACACAGCATAAAACTATGTTAATAGTACTGAAGAATATTTGCTTCATATAAGAGACGATCTGATTGAAGCTCCAAAGCAAAACAATAAAAAACACAGCCTAAAACTCTGTTAATAGTACTGAAGAGTATTTGCTTCATATAAGAGACAATCTTACAGTGAATTCAACTTCAGCATGCTCCTTTCCCTTGTACACCCTGGTGATCTGCATATGCATGTGGTACTATATTAAGCAGAAGCATAATCTATAGGTAGGTAAACATACCAAGATATTGTACTGGCAGATAGTTACTGGTAAATTCCATGACTCTAAAACAACTTATTCAATTGTTCAATATCAAAATTGTGTTTCCATATAGTGTTTCAGATGCCTATATTTCGTCTTCTTCTTACCCATCAAGCGATTGCAATCCTCTCCCTTGGACAAAAAAGAAAAAAAAATCTCAGATATTTTGTATCTGTCTAAGCTAACTAAAACAAGCTAACATTTAGAAACCTTTTCAATTAAAATTTATGTATTCAATGTAGCTCACATACATAGACTTTGACCCTTTAATTAATTAAAATTTGGTTTAGAAACCAATTTTCTAGCACTGTAATTTCTTATGCATTCTCATGTCCTGAGACAACCAGATAAAAACAATAGTTATATTTTGGTTTCACGACCAGCAAAATAGAACCCATAAGGAAAAAGAATGCACAAAATGCAATGATTGATTGACCAGGTAAAGCACCTGATATATCCACTGATTGACTTGTTGATGCACTTCATCCAATAATTGTCCCCTAAAAACAGTCAAAGGAACCTGAAACAATAAAACAATTCTTTGGCTGTCAGACACTAAATCTGAGAAGCATATTTTTAATAAAGGCTTTTCACCAACCATCTTATATGATTTCGATAGTTATGCATAAGTTATATACTACAGAATGAATGGTCTACCTGTCCATTAGATTTTATTGGAAATGTACCATTTGGGCGGAAGACATAGGCTCCAGAAGCCTTGAACAAGCAGCAAAAACTTCACATGTTAATCAATATTAATATCAACAGTTACTCCTTTATATGCTTTTTAAATCAGAAATCTTATTCAAGAAATTTAAGATGCAACACAATGTTAAGAACTATAATATAGGAGAAACTTTTCCAAGAAAACTCTAACTACCTGAGGATCTTTGTCAGTTCCATTGTATCCAGTGTAAAAGCTGAATGATTGCTCTAATGGTGCCTTGACCTTCAATAATAGAGTACAAACACGTTAAGTCTGTTTTAAATATAAGAGTAAAAATTCAAGAAAGAGGAAAAAATAAAAGAGAAGAAAAACACAAGACAAGGACTATTGAATATTACAAGATATATTAACAATAAAACAGTAATAATAACACTAAAATTGTACCATGTTTATGGAAATGGAAATTGTTTTGAGGAAATTTAACAAACATACAAAAAACAAAGATAGTAAATAATGCAAACAAAGCATCACCAACATTAACCTACCAGGCTTCGTGTGTTAACATACTGAGTAAGTTTGCCTTCATCTATAGAGTAAATAAGCTTTAAATTCCCTTGTCCCACTTCTATGGTACCATTTTCATCTCCAAATGAAGATGGTGTTGATATGGTTGAACTGGCACCTGTCAATATAAAAAAAAAAAGAATATGTAGGTTGATGTCAGTCATGAACAGTTTGTTCTGTAATCACAACTGCAGGTATAAAAGCATTAAATATGCTGAAATGCCTTAACCTGTCCGTTTGGCACTTGACACAATATAAGTGCTGAAACCAAGAGCTGGTACAGATGCAGAAAAAGCAAGCCAATATTTAGGTGTATCACTTGGGTATTTACCCAAGTACGCTTTAACATGGTAATTTCTTATGTTCACAGAGGTATTGACTATAGGCAATAGTTGGAATTCAATTTCTCTTCCATTGGAATCTTTAACAGTAATTGATTCACCAATAACCTGAATCAAGTTTTACCATGTGAGTAGAAATTACAAAATAATAGCTAAGATATTTAAAAATGATTACTTTCTACTGGAAAGGAAGTATGCAAGAACATTTTTACATATTAAAATATTCTGACTAATTTATGGGCTATGTACTGTGCCTGACAAAAAAATAAATACCTTGGAATCAGAGAACATACATCAAGTAACAATAAAAGAATGACATAGGCCTAAAAATCTGTATCAATGATGAAACTGGGTGGTTACCATGTAATAGTTAGCTGAACAGATTGAAGAATTTTTTTTTTTATAAGAAAGCTCAATAATGCCTAAACTATTTAACCAGTGACTTTGAAACTTTTTTTTGGTAACATAACAACTATGACCAGAAAATCAGACAAGTAGGATGAATTCCACAGACAATCTATAAAATGACAAAAATAGCCTTACTATCTAAAAAATACATAAAAATTAAAAAATTCCACATTTATCCACTTGACTCCTATATTAATTGATCGAGTTTCTTACCAATGGAAAATGACAGATCCATTATTTTGTATTTTGGTAGCGGTTGTAGAGCTGCATATTCCCCCTGTTTTGGTAGTGGTCAGTTACTCTACAGCCTTAATGGTTGTAGTTTAGGTCTTTCAGGAGCTGATATCAACCATCAGGTTGGTTCTCTGAATGTTCAGAGTTTTATATATTCTCTATATTTTTTTGTTTGGATGGTCAATAGCTTTCTTTGAGTAGTGAATTCTTTATTTATTTGATAGGAAATGGTAACTTTCATTCATTAAATCATAAAATCAAAACATTACATATCAGACATTACATAGGTGGAATGCTGATTTCATAGCAGTAAATCCTTTATGTCCAACATACCCTTTATTCAACCCACCCCCACCCCCCMCCCCCCCCAAAAAAAAAAGTTCTACATGTAATCTTTTAAAATCTAAGGTGGCTGCACTCCACCTGGACATCAAGGTTGAAAAAAATTAAATAAAAACAAAAATAATTTCCAACTTATATCCATGGCATTTTATTCTCCATAATAGGTGCCAAGCACTTGAAACAAGAAGAAAAAACATCTAAAAGAATCTTATTATCAGTAACAATATCAAAAGAGATTTATTAATAGGAGAAAAAAACCCTCATATAGTTAGGACAAGGCTTAGATGCTGAGAAACAAAAATAAACAAGAAACAGTCTTCCTACTCCTTAGTTTGATAGGTGGCCCATGAGATCCTCTAGAATAACAACACTTATGACAACATCTCAATACAAGCCCGCCAAAGTTACTCTTGAGGCATAAAACAAACATCTAAAAAGATTATATGGGTGCACAGAACAAAATGGATTTACTTACAGGAATCCGGACAACATCCTCTCTCTTCCACCCAAGAGAATTGTAGATAATAACAACCTAACAAGAAAAAATTAGAAATGTAGTAAAAAACAGAGAAGTAATTAGTAGCTCTACTGAATGAAAAAAGAAGTAACAGAAGATAAAATGTCAACCATACCAAGCTTTTGCCATGCGACAAATCAGCTTCTGATGGAGGACAATAACTAATATTCAGAAGAGGACACTGAAAAGAAATGACATGTATCAGTTCATTTGTATTTTCTATTCAAAACTGAGAATAGGATGTGTATTCATGCCTAAAATTTTCTAAACCAACTTAAGGTTTGGGTTTGATTGAGACCTGGGTTTTAGAAGAAGCCTCCATGAGTCTGAAATAAATAGTGTTTTAACTCTTCTCCAAGGTCTTGAAAGGGTGTTCTTGGATCCTTCAAAAAGGGATAGTTGGATTTGGACTCTTTCTTCCTTTGGTTCCTTTGCCTGTGCCTCATTCTTTTTGTCCTTAATGCAGTCGGGTGATAGTTTTTAACTGCCTTTTCTTGTAAAGGAGGTTTGGAGCGAACCTATTCCGCCTAGGATAGGATGTTTTTGCTGGTAAGTGTTTCTGGAAAGAATTAACACCTATAATTTACTTCAAAGAAAAAGATCGAATTGGTGCCTATCCCCCCACTGGTGTTCTCTCTATAAGGCCAATGGTGAGACTTGCTATCACTTATTAATCTCATACCCCTTTGCTTCTTCAATTTGGGAACGATTTCTTCCTTTGTTTGGGTGTAAGTAGAGCCTCCTGCCAAGTGTACAAAGCATGTTTGCCCCTAAATTTGTTAGATGGCTGAAGAAGAGGGAAAGAACCCTATGGAGGTGTACAAGGGTGGTTGTTTGTTGGACAACTTGGGAACCTTCTCAGAAAAAGAGAGGAGTATGGATGCCCAAATTGAAGTCATTACTATTAGAGTAGTCTGTTGGGTGAAGTCCTTGAAACTCTTTGAGGAGAATCCTGCTGGTTACTTGATGACAAAGTGGAGGGGCTGATTCTGCTCCCCTCAAGGATGTTGTTAGGCCATCTTGGTCCTCACCTTCTAGTGGTTTCATAAAGATGAATTTTGATGGAAGTAGTAAAGGAAATCTAGGTCCTCCAGGCATTGGAGGAGTCTTAGAAAATGATTAAGGAAAGAATTATTGCTCTCTACTCAAGTCCAATTGAGGTGGATGATTTGTTGGGGGCTGAGATAATGGCTGTCATGGAAGGAATTCAAAAAGCTAAGGAGCTGCACATCTGTAAGCTGTCAACTGAAGGGGATTCAAAGCTAGTTATAAATTGGCTACAAAAGGAAGAGGATGCTGGTTGATGGGGCTACATTTATGAGAAAAGGAGAATCAAGTGGTTGTTACAAGGAATGGATGTTACTCTACAATGGGTGAAAAGAGATGCTAATTCCTTTGCTGATACATTGGTTAAACAAGGGGTGTGAAGGAACCAAATTTTTTGGGCTTTGTTGTAAACATGTCTTTAGTAAGGGAGAAGTAAGAGAATTTATCTATCCCTTTCTTCATCATTAAACCTATTTGTTTTAAATTAATGAATCTGTTTTAGTTATTGGTAAAAAAACAATCATTTTAAAAATAGTATCTATTAACTCTTATGGTACTAAAACAATGAAAACAAGGCTTTCAAGAGAGAGTCAATGCAAGGTGCCATCCCAAAGCCTAGATGCAGCCATATGACATCCCAGGCTTCACTCAACTCCAAAAGAAAGATGTATTCCTTATTACATGAACTTGTTTCTATTGTGCTACGTTGAAAAAAAAAACTGAAAAGAAAAATGCCATTACATCATGGATTCAAATATTTAATACTATTTTCATGAAAGGGGCAGTAAGGCAAACAAGGAACTTGTTTCTATTGTGCTATGAGTATATGCAACAGTTGATAAGACCAATTACAAGCGGCAAAATAGGGAAAAAAAGAACACAACACATACTCCTTTTCCTCTATATGTCATAGGCTAGTCACATGAACAATGCCTAGATAACCATGACGGAATGTTTAGAAGATCCTTTTTCTTCTTCCATTGTGCCTTATCTTCCCCAAATGAACAATATTCTTATTCTTTAAGTAAAGAAAATCAATGTAATAAGAGGCATGGTGAATTAAGGTCAAAGATGTAATTTTACAATCTTTGGTTTTTTATTGAGTTAATTAAAAGGTTAGAATGAGCTGATCAAGGCAACCAGTCTATTCTCCCAAATATATAAACCTTCCTTCTTCCTTCTCTATCACATATAGAAAACCAGAAATACAGGTCTTTAAGATTTAAAATAGAATCAACTAAGATTGGAAGTAAATCTTATCTTACAATGAACCACAGTTTATCCAATTTTATATGTATAAATCAATTCAAACAAATGAAGTAGTTGGTATAAGATACCAACAAATTCTTATGCATACGTATACACTAAAAGGAGTTGCTTAAAAGTAGAAAACCTTATTAGAGCATTAAAAGCATATCCATACAAATTTAGGAAAATATACAAAATTACAAACAATTCATCAATCTCATAGGAAGGCCAAAAGCAAGAAATGCTTCAAGACATTAGGACACTGTGCCTTGAATTCTATCTTAGACAAAACAATTATAAACTGAAGGGCTCCTACTACTCCCAAATCCCCAAGGCATAGTTCAGTGCCATGGAAACAAAAATATAGATAGACATTTCTTATATAAGCCTTTTCTGATTGGTATACAGAATCTGTATGCACTCTTGTTTGAAGTGGAAAATCCTCTGAGTTTTCTTGGTTGGAATCTAACCTTCCTGGTCAGAGCTTAGGATTTGCATTTAGGTCATCTATAAAAGTCATTTTTATCAGTCATCTAAGTAGGTCATGGATTGCGATTGCAGGCTTCTTTTTTTCTTTTTGCAGATCTCCATATAACAGATGATTCTTTAGGTCACCGTTACCTGTGGATGCAGATGCACATTCTCTTCAGTTTTCATGTTACTACAAACCTTGATTGAGTTAGTTGTAACTTGTACCACAATGAAGTGGTCATCCGTACATACAAAATAATAGCATTTCCAGTTATGAGGTGAATCAAGTGGTTGCAGGAAAGCCAAATAAAAAATCTTGTTCAATGTACACCTAGCAGAGAAATTAAGGATTTTTTTAAAAAATCCTACATGCATTAAACATCATCAAGTGAAGCCCTTATCTAAACAAATTAGAATAACTGCAAAAGGAAAAATGAAAAAAGAAGGTTCAGTTGGTTAAAATGAGCATAGAATGTCATGGCAAAATTTTGTCCAACAATTCTTAAAGGTGCATATCACAAGATTCTTCTAAGAAGAACATTAATTACAAGAGGAAGTGCACTCTTTTCAAACTATGATGTAGAAACACCCAACTAGCATAAAAGTTCGCTGTCCTTGACCTGTTCTAACTTAGCTGTTGATTTTCCGCATCCAGTAATTAGTTTTGAATTTGCCAAGCAGGCAAGTGAAGATGCAACCAACTCCTTAGCCTACAAAACAAAGCAAATTATGTTAAAGCTTAACAGGATAAAGTATAAATGATGATAAAAGATTTTGAAATTCATATTTTGATAAAAAAGGAGAATATTCTGCATACACAGAAAATATTACCTCCTCATAACCCATTGATAGTCGTTTTGCATAATCATTCGCCACATGTTGCTTTTCTGTGCCAGTAACTGCATCATGATGCTGAGCAATGGCCAAAGCATCAGCTAGTGTGTCTGTTTTGGGCCCTAGATTGTTCCTACCCACAAAAAATTCCAATTGTTTTGCAGCCTGGTTTGACACAAAAATCTCATGAGCAATAAAGATTTGGAAACTGCAAGAAGACCATAATGTCCTAATCTTTAATATAAATCAGAATAGATACAAAAATATACCAGGTAGTAACCACTTAGCATTCTGACATAGCGTTTAATGGCTGGTCTGCTGGTAAAGTATCCTGTCCAGTAAGCATTTGCACGATCTGCATATCTGATAATTACATGTTTCAGTTTTTAAGTAGAGGTGAAAATAGGAAATAAGTGAATAATTTCTTGTAAATTCAAAATTTTTAACTCACGGGAAGAAGTCATCTGTCTTTATTGGCCAAGATTCATTTGTTGCATATTTTGCATCAGTGTAAATCGATGGGGTTGAATAGAGAGCATTAACACGGCCATCCTACAAGAATTAAGAATTTTAATAACAGGGAAAGCTATTAGATTTTTGAGATATAAGATGTCAAAAGAAAAACATGAAACCACTAAAGGAAACATTTCAATAAATTACCTTCCGAAGTCAACTATGAAAGAAGTCAGGTAGATAGGTACAGAACAAGACAGACAAAAATGAAAAATGGGTATTTTGGTAAACAAATAGGCTTATGAATAACTTTACCTACCCAAGGAGAAGAAGGAGCACCTAACTAAGAGTCTAGGGAATGTAACAGCATGAGTGATAAAAAGTTGAGCAAATCTAGATTCCAAAGTTATCAAAAATGGGGTGAAACATATAAAATGCTAAGAATGATGCAGCAGAAAAAATCATCTTTCATTGACAAGTTCTTCAGATGCTACCATCTTTCATCAAGTATGGAGATGCATATCTTACACTGATATATTAGATCACTGCACCGAATCTCATTAATCAAAGAACATCTTATTGCAATTTCACTTCAGTTAATTATCTCCTGATAGATTATTGATCACACTAATCTATCTAACTCCGCAGGAATCTCAACATGCATCCCTGATTAACCATGGCTATGTTGACACCTTATCGTTCTTTAGCAAGTTATGACATAATGGTGTTTGTTTATTTGAATGAAAAGAAACAATCTTTTTCTTCAATATCATTATTGTCTGGTGAATTTTAACACTATTATCATTCTATCAATTGAAGGCTTTACCGGCACCACTTAGATGGCCAAAGTAATGAGAAAGGCTTTGAAACCAGTCTGTCCAGTGTTTGATTCATTCTTTGAAATTCTTGTAAAGTTACTTGGTTTTGTCTTTCTCAGCCCATGCATCTGAAGTATCAAATCACAATGCTTTAACATGTGAATCCCAAAATAGTTACTAGGAAAAAAGCATAACTTTGGAGTGTGAAATAGCAATATCATAAGTGATTATAACCTACAATAACTAAGAAAACATTTACACACCTATTATCTTTATCCAACTATCATATAGAAAATTGATAGGGCACATCCACCTTATTGACATAATGAATAAGTTTGTCCATCTGCCGGAACCAGGTATGTGCATATTGATACTTGAAATCTGTTCCCATGGTCCACATTATATGATTTGTGCGAGTTTTGTTAGCCTAAAAACAAGAACACAGTTTTTGGTAAGTCATAAGTCCCTTGGAGTTGGAAATACATACAATGAAAGTTAAAAAGAACTGTTTCAAAAGAGACGCAAGTAGATTTTGCAAATTGAACAAGAAATTTAACACATGGAGCTAAGAACAAAATTTCCTGCTCACCTGCACTATTGCAGCAGCTACAAAGTCATTGACTCGCTCTTGTACATTGTAATCAAACAAATTGATGTCATCCTTCAAAATAGAAAATAAAAATACAGTGAACTTCTGAACAAATTAGTGGTGAAGCAGTGATTAGAGAATTCTTATTAGGATTTACCTGAACAATAGGTGAATCATCATTAATTTCAAAGTAAAATCCACTGGGAGGTTCATAATTACCCGCATGGAATGCACCAGCAAAAATCTGGACAATAAAAATTGAAAGCAACAAACACTAAGAATGGGCTTGGGAAGGAAAGGGAAACTTTTCAGATAACTAGACAGACAGTTAATTACAGGTATGCAACACTGAAACCAACAACTGGCATCCATTTCTTGACCCCAATTACATAAATCCAAGACACTTACACCAGCAACATAATATCACCTGTGCAGATGAACCAAGAGTCTTTGAACCCTGCCAAACAAACTCAAGACTCTTTTCATTACTTCTCTTAGATCTGTCTTGATAATCAATCCGAGCAAAGAAAAGAGAGTCAAATCCAACCTACATCAACAAGGGAGGTTGAAAACCTAATAAGATCAGAGACTAGAAGACCTATTTCAAGAATAGAGTACAGATATCGATAAGATATACCTCTGCACCCAACAAGTAAGCTTGCACTGCAGAGTGTCCAAAGGGATCGATTTGCCAACCAATTCTAGGAGTCACACCAAATTCCTGCTTGATAAATCGATGCCCCAGAGTTGTCTGATCAATCATGTCAATGTAATGAGTTGTTGCCTCATCATGCATGCACATCCCACCATTTCTGTGGAAGCCAAAAATCCAACAAGCCCAGTAAGAAAAGAGTGAGTTTTCTGCGCGTACAGGCTTGCCTAATAATGAGAACTGGTAAAATGAACAAAAGCAACCACCCTGTTACAATGTTCGTTGGGAACCTCTGAACAACTAATAATAATAATGAAAAAAAAAAGAAAGAATAATGTCAACATTGTTAAATTTTTTAAAACAAGTAGACAATGCAAAGCTTAAATGACATAGTATACATGAGCTCTAGTTGACCCGAGCTGATGAGCTGCTTGACTATACTCTGGACTGCCTCACTTTGGTCCCTCCACCAACGTTGGAAAAATGCCTGCTTCAAATGAACAAAGCCGATGATAATCGCTATGCATTCTAAGAACATGACAATCAAAACTAACTTTTAATTCACTATCGGAAAAAATATATTCTTGCCTGTTCAACATAAATGAATTTCCGATTCTTGTCGGCCAGTAAAGCTGGAATTAGGGAATCCAATACATTCTGAACGCATGCCACCTACAAAATAAATTGAAAGAAGCAACATTTTATGTTTTTATGTCAGTTTTAACTGACAGCAAATAAGAGACGGGACGGGAGAACATGGAATGCCAAGAAATATGAACGAGAGACCTGAATGGAATTGTTAGAACCAACGTAGTACTGATCGACTGTCTTCAACCATCCGACGTCATCATGCGTGTGCGGTACCAAATGGACATTAATTTTTCCAGGAACTATCCTCTGAGAGGTGTTGTAGGCGATGTACTCAGAGTCCGCGCAGAGAAAACCCGCGAAGACAGACAGAAAAAACAGCACTCCGATCGCCATGAAAATTCCAGTCCGAGCATTCAAGCTCCGAGACTATAAACAAAAGCAGAGCAGTTGGAAGGATGAGATGAAAGCGGAAACAGCGACGAAGAAGCCAAAATTGTGCTCGTCTCCTACCTCTTTGTTTGCTCTGGATCAAAATGAAATCAAAAGTCGCTTCCAGTGTGGGTCCAATATATGCTTGGGTTCTACAAATGTCGAAATGATTTCAGATAAGGTTTAGTTTACTTTTCCTGAAAGGCAAAGGAAAGGAAATTTTAAATCAAGTGGGCGAGCCTTTTTGATGGTGGCGAACGGACTCGTTCTTCCGTCCCGAGTCTGACCTGGTGATTGATACCTGATAGATGCTTTTATTTTAGTAGAAATATACTGTTTATTAAAAATTATACTGTACTCCACCTCACAATTCTAAACCTCACTTATAACACCAATACCCACCCGTCCGTATATTGGCATGGCACTATCGGAGTGGACTGATCAATAAAAATCCATTTTTATTTTAGCTTATTATTTTATTATCAATTATTACTGGTACAGGCTACGACTTACGAGTGTACATAGTTCAGAGTACAGCCTATAGAGAGAGAGAGAGAGGGCTACAAGTGCTGTGAAATTGACGTAAGAAATTCTGTGAAGAAATCTGAATTCAAATTAAACAAAAATGATTCAAGATTTTGGACATTGGTTTGTATCATTTTGGAATCGCACAAAGGATAGGCCTAATAGTTAATCAAGAAACAACATTATGAGCCTGATCTCTCAAACCCTTTTTATTGGAATTTGGATTTCCTCCTCATACAATGGTCCTCACGCTCAAATAACTTGCAACAATTCTGTATAAGGAAACATCTCTCATGAATGAAAACATGTACATACAGAAAATGTTGAAAATGTTCGAGCCTCCCGGAGCACACTAAACCCTGCTTATCCCTCCCACGGGGAAAAGTTATTTGATCCATGGTTTTCAAAACCAGACCGGACCGGATGGTTGGACCAAAAAAACTAGGAACCGATCAAGTGGCTGGTTCCATTTTACCCCAGAACCGTTTTTTCCCCCAAAACTGTTGATTTGGTCTACAAATCACTGACCCGAGCGATCAAACCGTATATAAGTTTGAACGGTTTTTATTTTTTGTCAAAATAGGCCATCCATTCAGTTCGAATGATCAGATTGTTCGACCCGGAAACTGGACCCCTGACCGGTTCATTGTCCGGGTCAGTTTTAAAAGCCTTGATTTGATCACATTTTGATAATTAATGTGCGTGGCACAATGTGGGTTGTTGAAGCTACTTCTTCAATGCAATATCATTTCCCTCATTAAGATTAATTCCAGATCAGTGCGATCCTCCCAGAGCACACTAAACCCTGCTTATCCCTCCCACGGGAAAAAGTTATTTGATCCATGGTTTTCAAAACCGGACTGGACCAGATGGTTGGACCAAAAAAACTGGGACCAGTCAAGTGACCGGTTCAATTTTACCCCAGAACCATTATTTCCCCCAAAACTGTTGATTTGGTCTACAAACCACTGACTCGGATGATCGAACCATTTACCGGTTTGAGCGGTTTTTATTTTTTTTTTAATTTTTAATTTTTATTTTTTTTTGTCAAAACAGGCCGTCCATTCGGTTCAAACAGTAGGACTGTTCGACCCAGGAACTGGACCCCTGACTGGTTCGACCCGGGAACTAAATCGAATTCGACTGACTTTAGCAGTTGACCCAAGTCCGGATTTTGAGCCGATCTGATTGTGGGCTAAAGGCTTGTACCGCGTTTTTGCTGTACCATATCACACGGTTGACCGGAACTCCTGTATATGGTGCGCCGAGGACAATGGAACGGAACCTCATTGGAAGGAAATGTGGTGCGCTTCATAGTTCACATCATCACATGTATACGACTCTTCCCACGTGAAGACCACAACTTTTAACTGGCGACGTGTATCTAATTATCTAAATGTTCCACCCATAACGGTATGCCTGTATCGTGGCAACAGTGCATTAATTCAGAGTCCAGACCATCCGTTGTCCACTTTTATCTGTGAGTTGTGATTGTTCAGTTCGAATCAAGGTATGCGCGTATCATGGATCTTTTCTCCCCTACCAAAAGAATATATACACAGGCTGAGTTGAGTCGAGTCGAGATTACCTCTTCGCTCATGTAATTGTGTTGGCCAGTTTTCAATCTGAGAACAAATGACTTGCCAAGTGGATGAATCTCTCCGATCTGCATACAAGCACAGTAGACGGTAGCGCAGGCCAAATGGAAATGGGACCGTGAAAAAAAGCAGGTTAACCGTTGCATTACTGAAGGGAGGCAAAAGCTGCAACYTGCAAGGCCAATTCAAAGCACGTTGCAGCCGCACATCTCCTGTACTTGTATATTTTCATACATGGGAGACGTTCAATGCACGACTGCCAGTACTGCGAGGACCACTCCGTGGGGAGGAAATCCAGACTCTCAACAATGACTTGCTAAGCGCATAATAGAAACCTCCTCAATGGAGCCTTAACTGAAGTGAAACCAACATTTTCATAGAAACATTGATCTCCCCAGACGAGACGGGGTACAATATTACAAGATAGAAGGCAGAGTAGCGTTTGTCAATACAAAATAGAATGTCTTGAAGGCCCTAGGATCTGACATCCATATTTCAAATATAATGGATTGCAAGGTCGACTCAGAAAGTCAGAAGCCAAGAAGAAGAAGAAGAAGAAGATTGATGGATTGCAAGCTTACCAGGAAAAAAAAAAGACTCGGAAGCAAGTGTCAGCTTCTGAAATCCCCACATCAGAAAGTGAGAATAATCTAGGATCCAAAAAGAAGTTAGAAAATAAAAAAAATAAAGAAGATTGATGGGTCAATACCAGGGTACAATATTGGCTATACATGTGCGTGTATGTATGCAACACCTTTCAAGTTTTAACTAGAAGCGAACCATCATATCATAGCACTGGTCTTGATCAATCTTCTTATGCCATCAATATGCCTAAAAGAAATAACTGCAGTAGGAACCAGGAAGGGTGTATCTATTTACACTACATGCTAAAACAAGTGTACCAGAAAAGGAAATAACAGTAATTCTTGTACCCCTATATGATTAGTGTGGGCTGTTTTATTTAGGCATTAACTTACCATCATTTGATAGCCAATTCATCATAATGCAGAAAGTTACTACAGCCACTATACAGAAGAGGATTTCACTTGCAAATAGAGAAGTTTTGAATACACAAGCTTCTGGGTTAGGTAAAGAAGCCTTTTACCCATCAACCGTATTGACCAAGAATATGTATTTGAAATTGATAATGAAGGTGCGGATTTCCATGGGGCCCAGCTCCACCACCAACCTCACAGGATCAACGGGTCCTCCCCTCACCACCTTTGCTTCTTCCTGGGGAGCATCTACTTTCCAAACTAACTTCTTCTTTTCCATCTCAGCTCTTTCTTGGTTAGAAGATAAGCTCATCTCTGTTATTTTGCTGATCTGAAGAAAATAAAACGGAACTCTATGAGAATGACTTTAGATGGTCACTGGTGATAAGACAAATTCAATGTCATGTACTGGTTGCATCTACCTTCTTGTCTGCAAACAACTTTTTCAGTTCCACCCTTGCCATTACTGAAAGATCCTTGTCCTCTCCAATCTTGGACAGATCATTACACCCAACAGAAATATGTTTAGAATACTACAGTTATAAGAGTAAACCTAGAGCATCTAAAAGAAAACCAACAAAATTTGGTGATTTTGTTGGGTAATCTAGGGGAAGTTGGAGTTGTTAAGACTGTTTCCCATCTTAAAACATAAGTTTTCTTTAGCTTAGAATTTGTCAAAATCCATGGACTGCCAATACTATGAATCACCTTCACTAATAAATACCTTCCCTTTGCAAAAAAGAAATTAAAAAGATAAACATGAGTTTCTTTATTTTAATGACAATTATTGAGATCTAGTATGGAAAATTTCTAGAAACTGAAATCAAACAAATAGATGCAATTTGGGCAATCAAGCTGATGAGTTCGAAAATGGCTGAAACCCAGATTTTCCATGGAAATCTGGAATTCATATCAAAACAATGAAATTTAGAAAGAACCCATCCCAAATGGAGACAAGAACAGAAAACAAGCAGATACTGGTGATTCTTCATGGTTGGCACTATAACCTACAGACGCTGGTATGTGAATCTAGCCTCAACTTACATTATGTATGCTCTTTCAACTAAGAACAAATAATTTTGGTTGCTTTTTTTTCCTTAACTTCCACAGCTCAGCCTCCCCTCCAAAAAAAGAAAAGAAAAAAGAAAACGAAACAAATAAAAAGAAAAGCCATTTGTAATGTAACAAAAAGATCGTTGTGAAGTAAATCATGCCCATTGCATCAAATTTGCAAAGAGATTAGCTCTGTCATCATGCTTGTTAGAATGTTAGAGTGATGTTTGGCTGATAAGAGTTCTTATTAGCCCATTCTTATGTTTAACTTATCTTGTAACTGGGCTTGTGTTAATGGGCCTAATCCTGTTTAATGATTTAAGTCATCTGGGTGTCCCATCACTAATCACGGGCATCCCAGTAATTTCTTGTGCCTTGTACTATATTCATCTATAAATAAAGGACTGGTCGACTGGCTAGTGCAGTTCGACATTCTCTTCAGTTCTGTGGTTCTCTTCTCATCCTTGCTACTTC